AAAAAAAAAAAAAAAAAAACAAAGCAAATAAATAAAATAACTAAAAGGATCAGTATATAGTTTAGAGTTTATTTCAGTGTAAAATTTGAGGATAGCCACCTAGGAAGTATAAATCTTAAAGAATAAAAGTTCGTGTTTTGAAGTGTAGAAGTCTGGGATTGTTTATATAGACAACGTTTAGGAAAGTTTAACAGAACTTTAATTTTTTTATATATAAGGCTTAATGTAGCGTTATAATGGTCTGATTAGTTAAGGTGGTTTTCTTGGGGAGGAAGATATACTTACTATTTTATATTGAAGATGTAGTAGTTACGGGTTTTCTGTGTTATTTGGTCTGAGTTAGGTTAGGTACAGGACAATAAAAAGGCATATATGTTAAATATATAATTATAAATATATATTTACAACTTGTATAGATATATAACTTGTCATGGGGGAGCAGTGGAACTGGGAAAGTGGAACAGGAGTGAAAGAATTTACCAAGACAGGTCCAGGCGTGGTGGCTCACGTCTGTAATCCCAACACTTTGAGAGGCCAAGGTGGATGGATCACAAGGTCAGGAGATCGAGACCATCCTGGCCAACATGGTGAAACCCGGTCTCTACCAAAATGCAAAAAATTAGCCAGGCGTGGTGGTGCACATCTGTAGTCCCACCTACTCGGGGGGCTGAGGCAGTGGAATAGCTTGAATCCAGGAGGCGGAGGTTGCAGTGAGCCAAGATCATGCTCCTGCACTCCAGCCTGGTGACAGAGCAAGATTCTGTCTCAAAGAAAAAAAAAAAAAAGAATTCACTAACACAGGCAGATTTATTAGAGGAAGTAGGAAAATACTTTCAAGAAGGTAATGGGCAGCCAGCAAGAGAGGAACTGACTGCAAGGAAACGCAGACTTCCTGGAGATAGAATAGGTGGTTTTTGGGCTGCAGAGTGTTACATTCATTTCTGATAACACCAAGGTTGCAGGAAGCTGACTTGCATTTTTTGTATCAGCTGAGAGTCTGGCGATAGCTAGGCATAGGAAGATTGAGAGTTATTTGCACAGGACGACTCTGTGTCCTGGACCATTAGGAAAGGCAGACTTACAGCTTATCTGCTTTTTCTTCTTTCTTATTTTGCTTTCCCCTGTTCCCACTACCCTGACTCTTTTTCCCTAATTAGGACTCCACATTAATACATAATAATTTACAAAAGATAAGTGATTCGATGGGAGGAGGAAAAAAGAAGCCAAGTCTTGGCAAGGCAGTTTAGAGAAGGAGGGATAAAGAGATGGAGAAGCAGAACGGTGAGAAGTAGTTTTGGCAGTTTCCTTTTTTAATATATCGATAATTCTAGAGAGTTTAATTTTTTCTGTAGGGAAAGAAATTTTCAGAGTCTCCTTTGGATGCTTTTTAGCATCCAAAAATTGAAAGTAACTTTCAATTTTTTGAAAATTTTAGACTCAGTTTTTTAAAATTATGTACATAAATGAACTAATTTAGGTATTTTTAATGGCATTTCATTTTGGTCTTCGTAGTTTGGGTCTTTATGGGTTAAATAAGACCATTTTAAAAGATACTGATGGGAGGTCACATCATAAGTACTATTTATGAATATGAATTTAGCTGGAGTTACTTTATTAAAGGTGTATTTTTTTTTGGAGACGGAGTTTTCCTCTTTTGCCCAGACTGGAATGCAGTGGCTCGATCTCAGCTCACCGCAACCTCCACCTTTCTGTTTCAAGTGATTCTCCTGCCTCAGCCTCCCGAGTAGCTGGGATTACAGGTGCCCGCCAACACACCCAGCTAATTTTTGTATTTTCAGTAGATACAGGGTTTCACCACGTTGGTCAGGCTGGTCTCGAATTCCTGACCTGGTGCTCTGCCACCTCGGCCTCCCATAGTGCTGGGATTACAGGCGTGAGCCACTGCATCCGGCCATTGAAGGTGTATTTCTTTTGAAGGGTAAAGACTCAGTGTTAGATGGACGATTGTCCATAATTTGGGGTTTTTGTTTTAATGGTCAAAGACCGAAAGGGAAAGAGTTGTTGGATCTGGCATGCTGCTTAATAAGGATTATTTCTTGAAGAGTCACCCATGAGTCACTTTTTTCCTCTTATATGTCTTGGTGAAACCCAGTAATTTGGGGCACTTAGGGCACTAGGATATTTTTGTATGTTTTTTTGTTGAGGGGAGTCTTATGGGTCCAATGTATGGCATGAAGGATGAGCTTAAATAGTTTCACAAAACCTTAGTCACTAAGCTATCTTTTGGCTGGGAGAAATAGTGTCTTATCTTTAAAACTTATCTCTGTCTTTATAGAAAGTTTCTTTTATTGGTTTTGGTCATTTAAAATGGGACCTTAGATATGTCAAATGAACTGAACTTAAGAGTTTAGCCAGTTTTTTTTGTTTTTTAACTTATAAGTTTTACTTAAGTCATGCAATATTTTTTTGAGAGAGAGAAACTTTTCTTTCCTGACCAAAATTTGAATGGGAGAGAAGGCCATGGCCATGCTCGGTGACTCATGCCTGTAATCCTAGCACTTTGGGAGGCCAAGGCAGGCAGATCACCTGAGGTCATGAGTTAGAGACCAGCTTGGCCAACATGGTGAAACCCCGTCTCTACAAAAACACAAAAAATTAGCCGGGCATGATGGTGGGTGTCTGTAATCCCAGCTACTCAAGAGGCAGAGATGGGAGAATTGCTTGAACCCAGAAGGCAGAGGTTGCAGTGAGCCGAGATCATGCCACTGTGCTCCAGCCTGGGCAACAGAGCGAGACTCCGTCTCAAAAAAAAAAAAAAAAAAAAAAAGGGAGGGGCGTATAAATTCTAGTGAGTCATTTAATAAATAACACAACCTCAGAGAAAAGTGAAAATCATAAATCTGTGAACAGCAGCATTTTCCGAGAACAAAAACAAAACCACCTAAAAGCAGAATTTTAATTTTAGCTCTGTTGAGCACGGAATTGGGTTGCTTAAATAAAGTCTGAATTTCAATTAGAACCGGGGCAATGTGGGCCAGGTGCAGTGGCTCAGGCCTGTAATCCCAGCACTTTGGCAGGCTGAGGCGGGTGGATCAACTGAGGTCAGAAGTTTGAGACCAGCCTGGTCAACATGGTGAAACCCATGTCTACTAAAAATACAAAAAATTAGCCGGGAGTGGCTGGGTGCCGTGGCTCACGCCTGTAATCCCAGCACTTTGGGAGGCCAAGGTGGGTGGATCATGATGTTAAGAGATGGAGACCAGCCTGGCTAACATGTTGAAACCCCATCTCGACTAAAAATACAAAAATTAGCCGGGCACGGTGGCATGCACCTGTAATCCCAGCTACTTAGGAGGCTGAGGCAGGAGAATCGCTTGAACCCAGGAGGCAGAGTTTGCAGTGAGCCAATATCGTGCCATTGC